CCAAGTTTCAGACTGCTGGGGAACATGGTTAATTTATTATGAATTTTTGAAAACGTGGTCTTTTATCCCCTGATCTTATGGAAATCACAAAAAAAACTGCAAAACCCAAGAAAAAAAAGCAGCCAAAGTCATGAAACTTTAGACACTTTTAGAACATGTGATCAATGATTTTTTGAGTGAAAAAGATTGTCGCCTAGGAGCATTGTTTATTAATAATAGCGAAAAAAGTACTGAAAAATGAAATTTCTGCGCACGCAGCCCCAACGAGCAGCAACGTCTCAAGTACCGATCGGGTGGGGGTAGCGCGGTCAATTTAAACGTCTCTTGAGAGAGCGATGAAGCATTGTGATTGGAGCTCCCTCGAGCCAGTGGTACCAGCTCCTGGTGAAATAAAACACTACCGACGATGTTGCCACTTTTTCGCATGGATTAATATTTTTTCATTTATTAAAAAAAAACAATCTGAAAACCATGCAATGCGTGGAACAGATACAAATAAATTTGATTAGCTCCAAAAATAATTTTTAACCGGAGATACTCCCTAATATTGCCTGAATTTTCAATTCGAATAGGAAAAATTTTTTTGTTCAGCGATTGGTTTTCTGCAGGAAAACAATAGAAACCCCTCCGCCTCACCTCCTACATTTCCTCCTCGCCCGATTATCCTTAAGGTATAGAAGCCATCATATCCCATTTAGATGACTCTTTTATTTTAGATTCTACCACGAAACTCGAATTTGTCTTAATCGTCCAGCAATTGGTCTATTCACTTTCTTCCTGGGAATAGCTTATATGTACAATGATAAAATAGTATTTTTCCGGCCTGTTGCGATGGGGTTTTTTACTCGTGTGGCGTTGGCCTCCGAGCCGTAGGCGAGGACTGGCCAACCACACGAGTAAAAAAACCCCATCGCCACAGCCCAGGAACAATATTTTTCTGTAGTGATTTTCAAGTTTTCGAGTTCGGGAAGTATGTAATACCAATTCCCAGACGAGAAATCGTGAGAAGCAGTACAGAAAAAAAGTTTTTCGAGAAGTACGTCTTTGCTTGCGTCAAGAAACTTATATCTTATCGTAATCTCTAAAATTAACAAGAAGAAAATATCTCACACTGAGAAAAGAAACCTTTCGTCAAGAGATTTTGTACTTGTCCGAAAGATGAGGGGTAATTGTTTCATAAAGAAATAACTTCTGAAACTAAGTCAAGTGGTTTTTGTATTAAAATCTTTCGGATTGGAGATTTAAAAACTATTGAATGAATTGCTTCAACTAGACTTGGTGTGAGAAATTACTTTCTTTCCGTAAAAAAAGCTTCCTCATTTTGGAACAAGTACAGAATTTTTTTTTCTCAGTTTACTAGTTATCGGTATAAATATAAAGGGGGGAGGTCGTTCAGAAGGCGGAGCCCTTGTGAAAAAGAAATGAAATGAGAAAGATATTGAAGGATTATAAAAAAAAGTAACAGAGCATGGGGCTTAATCAGTTAGTTGCGGTGAACTAGCAGAATCATAGTAAGAATACCGAGAAAGAAAGTTTCTAGTGTTCAGAACCAAGTTATTGATATTTAGAATCTAGAAGGCATTGTACTAAGAATAGGAATCTGGTTGCTTATTTTCGAAAAAAAACCCTTATATTCCGAAATTTAAGCCACTGAAAAGTGGCTTATATTTACTTCTCTCAAGTAAATATGGTCTACATATTAGGAATTTTTTCTCTCAGTGTAATAATTTTTAATACGAGAAATTGAATGAAAGACCATGCCCCCGACACTCGAAAAATTACTCTTCAACATAGGGCGAGTGGGGTAAAACGGACACTTTAGACTTTTTAAAAATTATAACTCAGAAACAAATTGATCAATTGTGCTCAGTTTAGGCTCGTCAGAAAGGGAAAGAATTGTTCTTTGTATTAAAAAAAAATTATTAAATTTTATCAACATTTCAACCCCTCATTGACATTAAAAAAAAAATCAAAAGTGTCCGTTTTACCCCAACCTCCCCTAGTTATTTTTTTTTTATTTAAGCCTTAGTTATTTTGAGAATAAATGAAAAACCACGATGTGCTGGATAAAAAAATATGGGTGACAAAATTGAAATATAGTGGAGTCCGTTGGAAAAATTACTGTTGAATACAGTAAAAATTGAGAAACGGTATAGTAGAATGTACACGGACAGAAATTCTCTAGAAAAGTTCTAGTACTGGCACGGGAAAAAGGGCGCGAAGTGACGGCCAGGAAAAAATTCCAATGCCAGCACTGGAAATTTTATTGAGTAGGACGTGCATTTTTCCCGTTCTTATATGAAATTTCCACAGAAATCCTTACAAATTTGACCTTAACTGTACTAAAATTTTTCATAGCCGGTGGATTGGAATTTAAGATTCTTTCCAGCACTAGCAGTAGAATTTTTCCAAAGAATTTCTCTCCTTGTACATTCTACTATACCCATTCACAAAAAAAAATCAAAAGTGTCCGTTTGTGAATTCACAATTCACACTGACTAGAGGGGAACATTAGGCCACTACACCGTGCCTACACTGATAGAATGATTCATTTATTCCAAACGAAATTCGTTAACTATTAACGAATGGTAGAGTTGAATATGACCAAATGAATATTCGTTAATAGTTAACGAATGGTTCACTTGAATGGCGAAAGTCAAGTCAAACAAGGCTCCTCAAATATACATTCGTTAACTATTAACGAATGAACATTTGGTGGGACCGAATAGACCCTAACCTCCAACCAAAATCCATTCGTTAACAATAACTAATCCGTTCTATCAGTGTGGCTTCCGAAATTTTTGTACGAAGATGTTCCTAAGCGGTCACCCATTCAAGTACTAACCGCGCTAAACGTAGCTGCACTCGGATATCCACCGGAGCAACACCTAACTCACCCAACCATGACGGTCGGCTTTTTATTTTTGAGAATTTTAGAATCCGCCACCCGGTTCATTGGATGGTCGACGAAGGGAGGGGATTCCCACAATTGAAAGCAATCGATACTCTCATCATCCACAGGAGTTTTTGCTTAAATTCTATTATTTCACCAAGTAAAATGTAGGAGGCGGCAGAGTATAAATTAAAATTTTAAATTAAAAAAAAATTACAATTCAACATAGTAAAAATTCATACGATTTGAGTAATTTTCTTAAGCGTTTTTGACATTCTTGAAAATTAGTTACTGTTTTTTTCATTCAAAATTACCGTGTTAAATGTACTATACGAAATAGCAACACGTTTCACTAATTTTCAACAGCCCAAAAATTACAGAAAGTAGGAATAACTAAACTCCAGCGATTATACAGCAAAAACGAATGTCTGAATTTAAAACACCTTTTTTGTAATACCTGCCTCAAAAGTTCACTTTTCGAAACCGTTTAGTGTGTGTGAAGTGGTTGTTTCACACACAATGTGCGTAAAGTTCAGGGGTCGTGCGCAAAGTGAATTTCGACTCGTGCGTAAAGCTTCGCTCGAAATTCACTTTACGCATGACCTCTGAACTTTACGCACACTGTGCACAAAAGCAACCACTTTACCCCCACTACGGTTCCAAACAGTGAACTCGACAGGTATTACAAAAAATAGGATGTGTTACACGTATGTGCGAAAAAGTGTTTTTTTACGCACTTGTAACACAATATACTATTATAGGCATTTTTCAGACACAAAAAAAAACGTCTGAGTAAAAAGAAAATTTGTTAGTATCTGAAAAATGTCTACAAAAGGTGTATGAAATTCAGACATTCGTTTGTGCTGTATAGTCTTCACAACAGACTTTACAGAAAATTTGTAACTTTGAAAACACTCAATTTTGAAAAGAGATGCATTCACGCATGGGTCTGTATGTAGTATGGCCGGACTAAAGGGGTTAAAAATGCAAAAATTCTTGAACATCTGACGAGAAGGGTCATGGACACACAGCGCCAGAGCACGGATCAAGACTTTCTCGTCAGGAGGTTAAAACAAGAGATTATACAATCATATTAGGTCTAAACGGAGAAAGAAATTCCAAAATTTTTCTGGAAAAATTCAGGCAATTACCGTGCTGTCTGGTAAAGTGGGTTCAATTGTCCAGCACCAGAAAAATTCCGGTGCTACATACTAAAAATTCTGCTACCGCACAATAAGAACTTGATCCCTGACTGTTTTCTAAAAGTGAGTCAAGATTGTCATTCAACATATCATCCTATTAATTTTTTTTAATCTCCCCTCTATCTCCTCTCTCCGATATTAAAAGCGGGTAAAGGGCACTTATTTTATTTCTTAGAGGTTTTATCACAAACCAATTAATATTTCACTGAATCAATGTTATGAAAAACATCAACCTGGGGTTTCAGTAGTCGGTATATGAGAGAGGAGGCTAGAGGGGGCGACGGAATAAATCATCTGGTCACGTTGAGTTGATATTCGTGGTTGCGGTGGGGCGACGAAGAGGACCGAACACTAACGAATGCGCGATCGAGTCCTAGAATTCTAGTGGAGCACTGGAAAAATTCGCCAGCCAGTGTCATAATTTTTCTTGTATTTCTCATAAAAATTCACCGTCTCTTCGATTTTACCGTGCTGCACAAGAATTTTTCCCCACATTTATCCGAAAAAATGACTGGTACAACAGTACTTTTTCCTACTCTTTGCGGTACATTTCGCCTGGAAAGATCATCCTAACCCACTTTACTATGCAAGCATTTTTCTCGTACTTTTCTCCCCGTGTACGTAAAAGTTACTGTCAATTAGAGATTTTTATTTATAGAGAATATTTTCTCAACATAAGGGAGAATTTCAGTATTTTTATTAGGTAGTCTATTCATCTTAAATCCTCACAATTTTAGGAGAAAATGTCGAGAGATCAGTTCTGCAGCTAAATAAATTTTGAACAAAAATGATAATTGATATGAAGTAATTTGATATTTGATATGATCATTCATTTAAAGCAAAACAAATTGTCTATCTCATTAGCCCAAAGATTTTAATGAAAACGTCTTCCTATTTGTTCACAGATGCTGGAATACAATTTGGCACCATCACAATCAGACGACAGAGCTCCAAGCGTAACTATATGGTGAGTAAATAAATTCACAAGAATTTTGCATGAAAGCATTGTTCCATGACAAGCTTGATAAAACCCAGTTGAATGTTCCCTCTCTCGCTCACGTCTTCGGAACCCTCTTCCTCGATCTTTTATATATTCGTGACGCGAACGAACGACCATGGCCCGAGCCCGTTCGCACAGGAAGTATAAAGTCCTTTTGATCTCGAGACAAAAGCTCTCCCTTTCGCCCTCTCCCTCATTTCACTCTCTCCGTCCTCCTTGCGACGACGCGCTACTCTCGCAAACTACGGCAGTCATGCGGTTGCTTAGCGACCCGGAAGACACGCTCCCCAGAAAGCCTGCACGACGAAAGATTCACCGGGGAGAATTCCTCTTCCTCTCTTTATTTTAGGCAATTTTTACAGGTGATATCCTCGTAATTATTTTTCACCCTCTGAACTTTGGTCGCTGAATTATCAATTATAAAAGCATTTATTAACAATGCTTCAGTTAATAATGCTTTAGTTGTGGTTCGTTAGACATCCTCTCAATTCTCCCGAGAAGTGATTCAACTCGAATTGTCGAGACTTCTGGACCGGAACGTTTGAACTTTTCTCACCGTCGATTCACTATGAATTTCATTCCATTCTCCTTCCGGACATTTTTTTATACTATTCTTAACTTTTAGCTTAATTATCCACAGAGAAAATTTTTTTTTTCCAATTAAGAACACTGTTCTTAGAATTACGAAAACATTGCTATGAAGTTTAGATCATTGTCTTGTTTGAAAAGATGATGAAAGGCGTTAAGGTCTGCCATTGCAAATGTCGGCAGGTTCCCTCCTTGATTCTCCCTACTTTCTAATAACAGTGTCAAAAAATATTGATTCCCAAGGACTAGAAAAAAAAATTTTGTCAAGCTGACAAAATTGTTAATGAACTAACCAAAATGTGCCAAATTTTAAATCAAGCTCTTGAATTGAGCACCCTTACTTTCAGCACATTTTCATTGAATGGAAAGTACACTGCTACATTGTCCTGTTTTGGAACATGACATGAAAGTTGAGCAGTAGGGAAATCGTGCCCCTAATTTTTCAAAAAAGAAACTCATTTTTTCTCATCAATTTGCAAGATATACTGTTAAAAAAATTTGTCTGAAATTTCCGGTACACTTTTTGGAAATTTTTATCGAATTGAATTACCACTGAAATTTCAAGGAATTTTGTCATTCAAAATTCAGAATTTCGTGGAAAAATCGAAGAGAACTGTGAATTTCAGTTCGATTTTTCCCTGAATATAAATAGAAAACCAGAAAATTCCGGAATATATTCTGGACTTTTTAGGACAGTGACACTGAATGCGATTTAAGGGGAAAAAATCATGGAATTTCCGATTTCACTGAAAATCCAATGTAATTTAGCACTAAATATTCATATTAGATTGGAAATTCAAATAAATTAAGGAATTCTCGTCTTTATGCAGCTTAAAATTGTGGAATTTTCCTGAATTTTCAGTGAAACGTGAAATTTCATGATTTTTTCCCCCTAAATCGCATTCAGTGTCATTGTCCAAAAAATTGGTAGTCAACTGTCCATAAAATTTCTGAATTTGCCTGATTTTTTCGAATTTTCACGGAATAATTAAACTGAAAAATCGAGTATTTTATTGATGTTCAAATCACTCGATCAGAAAATCAATGGAATATTTGATTTTTCAATGGCAATATTTTCTGAAATTTCAGTGGAAATTGAACACGATAAAAATTTCCAGGATTTAGTGCGGAAAATGCATACGAAAAATTTTAACAGTGTATCTAATATTTCAGCAAATATTGGAACCATTTGCAATCTTTCATATTGAAGTGTTCTCAAACTCGAAATATTGTTGTCAAATAGAGCACAATATCGTCAATTTCACTAAATTTTCCTTAATAAAAAAAATCGTGTGTGAGGCTTTTCGTAGAGTATCTAATGTTGTCGTGAACACATAAACTATCAAGCGCCATGCCATTCCTCACTCAGTAAAATGCTAAAGATCGAGTTGGATGTCCAGTAAATTTCGGAGGGGTTCGAACACGGCTACTCGACAGTTTTTACAATGACATCGAGTCACGCAGACGAGTCCCCTAGTAGCCCCAGGTCCGGGATTACGAGAAAGAGGAGAAGGGTGAAGATAGGGGGAAGGGGGAAGGAAGAATCCATTGACGCCCCGATACGTGTTTCGTTTCTTCTTTGTTTCTGTCCACTATATTCTCATTTTATTCCCATTTATTTCTGAACTTGTTCTTGTGGTGTTTTAAAATATATTCGCTCATGATGGACACTGATCTTTTTTTCATTTCTTCACCGTGTCTCACCCGTGCAGTCTTACAGACGTTTTACGGCAGGGAGTCACGCACCATCGGGGGGCCATGTCAAAGCCTGGGTGAGAAGAGATTGTACATCGGGATAGGGACACAGAGACGCGAATGCATCACTGGAGTTGAGAAAGGTCTCGTTCTTTCGCGTCTACTTCGATTATCCTTCCAGTGAGACTCGTCGTCAGGATGAGTAGAAAATCTTCTAGCTATTTCTGTGCGTCACTCTGTAGGACAGACGTCTGATGGTCACGCAGGCTTTGGTGTAAATTTTCTGATGAGGATGACCTTCATGCCAGATAGAGGTCGTGGGTTTATGAATTGAGTCACGGTCGTTGGGGGGTATTTCGAGGGGTAACGAGATGGGAATAATGTTATGCAAAGAGGCGAGATTGTTTGCGGAAGGGGGGATAATGAGGGCTGGGGTTATTATATAAGAGTGTCGTGTTTATGAAAAAAATGGTGGAGATTGGGATCGCGGCATGGCTGACCTGTTGCGGACAATGGAGATGGCCAATGTCGAGTGGCTTTACATAGGAGCTGGTGGCATCGCCGCGCCATGTTACCACAGATCGTGAGCTTAAAGAGTGCTACAGCGCGTCGAAAAACTAGAAACTAAAAAATTGTAAATTCAAAAAACCTGACGCAAAACTTGTTAATTGAGTGATTTAAAAAAGGAAACATGAAAACCGAAAGCTAAAGTTCAAGGAAGTGTAGAGAATGGAAGACCAAAATCGAAAGAGCGCACATGAAATTAAGAAGCTTTTCATCACATGAAAGCGTCGAACGCTATTTACAGACAATCTAAAGAAAAATTTTCTTCGTCACTCGGCTGAAAAACCTCTTCGGACTCGAGTGATTGCAGTTCGCGGTGTCGCTTCGGTGTGTAAAAAACCTCATCCTCATCTGAAAAGTTGGGAGAGCACCCGATGCATAATCGGAAGGTGCCGGGTTCACATCCCGATCTGGACTATCCATTTTTTTTTCAGTAAAAATTTTCTGGTTATTCATACAGTGGACTCTGGTTAGAGTCCACTGTTTTGCGGGATAGGGGAAGCGAATTCGGAGAATTCGACTCTATTTCCCTGCCCCCACTACGCGCTCACGCCGAGCCCGACTTCCGAGAACTACGAACGATAAAATGAAAAATACTATTTCTTTTCTCTCTCAATTCAACACTTTATTTTAATGATAAACTTTACTTCACAGCCCCAACTATAATAGCAATATTCATATAGATTCAGACAATTTTTTTTATTATCAATATTTTTACACCACTTTCTGATCGTCGTATGATGCACTCCAACCTCATCGCATAGATCATTTATGTTCTCTCCACTATCCAATCGTTCTAAAACACTCACTTTAGTTTTAATACTCACAACAGTTCTCGTCTTACTCTTTTTATTCGCAATGTTACAGTCGTTTTCTTTACCTCGCTTCATTATTTTATTTAATCCAATTTTGAATTAATTTTATGCCAACAAAACGAGATCCTCCCCCCATGACAACCAGAAGTGGACTAAATTTTTTGATCGACAATTCAAATGCAGAATATTTTATTTTTCGTCTTCACTGGAATATGAAGACAATAGCAATTCGAAGAAAATATTGGAGTGTTTACTCTCCGGCTTGTGTGGTGGCAGAGTGGGAGAAACGCTCGAGCGGCGAGAAAAAAAAATTGAGGGGAAGTTCGACACTAACCAATATGCCTCTAACCAGAGTCCACTGTATTGAGAATAATCCCGGTTCCCTCCTATCTCACCCAAATCCCATCCAATCATTTCCTATGACGTCACAAAGATGTGGAACGCTATATAAATTCCCTTCTTCAATCCTATCGTAAAAAGGAGAAAGGAAATCGATCTCGAAATATCTCGAAAATCTCGAATAAGCGTAAGCGTAAGACTGAAACCGAAGCACCACTACGTGAGGAGATGAGAAGACGCGTGCGTAGCACGCGCGGCCGATCTCGTGTAACAAAATGTCGAACGATTCAAGATTTTGCGTGTCGTCGCAGGAGGAAAATCTGACTTTGCGCCTACGCCGAGGCGAAATATACCGTTCTAATCACTGGAGATAAAATAAAGGATCGTTACCCACGTGTTTACCACCCTTGCCTTCGGCGCGGGTGGTAATTCTGCACATGGGCACGCCTCCTTTATTTACCTCCCTAGGTTAGAAAAATACTATTGCGTCATATCTGCACGGAAAATCTAATTTTCCTCCCCAAATGACGGGAGTAAAGTGGCCTATTGTTTTCGACGATCCTCGGAATGACATAACCCACGTTTCTGCCACCATTTACGAAGAAAGATCGAACTTTACCGTGCGGAGTAACGACGAAATAGTATAGTACGTTACAAGTGTAAAAAAGGGGGAATATTAATACGAGTGGGGTAATGTTTTTAGGGACAGTCGTAGGACACGCGCAGTCGAGCGCTAAACGAGATGAGCGAAGCGGAGAAGACACCAGTACAGCCTACTTTTCAACTTTTTACTTTTTTCGAGTTACTTTTCGTTCACTAAATAGGATATCCACCTAGGACGGAAAATAGGAGATCAAAACACGCGTGTTTTGTTTATTCACACGCGGGTTAGAATGTCCGGTTTTCCTCGCGTCGTCCCCAATATACTATTTCAGCCTTGTGACGAAAATATGTACGGAGAGAAAT